TTTTGGTCATGATGTTTGTAACTTGCAAAGAACTGCACACACACACACATGAAACATAACATGAGTTGAATCAACAAGCGATATGTGGCTTTGTCTTAATTCTCTGCGCACAGGCCAGCTGCCATCATCGTGAACGTGATGTCAGACAAGCTGAGCGGTGAAGACCACCAACAAGCACCGGAGTCCATTTTAAAAAAACAAAAAAACTTTACTAAAAACGTTCTAAACTTGAAAGATCGGTCTGAAAGCATTGCATTCAAGCTTTGAGATGCTTTGTCCAGTGTTTACATACTTCGAGAAGAAGGCAGGGCTCAAGCAAACAATTGAACGATCGGAGCATGGCTCCCATTTCAGTGAAAGATGCTGTCAAATCCCTGGTGTCTACTCTAAAACGTTCAAGTCCAGCGTCCCATGGTAAATGCAAGAGTGTGAAGACATTTGGAATAAACATCAGTCAGCTGTCATTGTTTTGGTGATATTTGCCACTAGGAAAAAGCTTAGGGGGCCTTAGATCAAAACAATTGTTTCTCAAATTGGTCTTCCAACCTCTCAGGAAAACTGGCAAGTCTACGAAGAAGAAGAGCACTATACAGGGGGCTCAACGAATTCCCAAGTGCACCATCGAGATCCCCTGCTCCAACCCCAGCTCTGGCCCCAAGTCCTTCGATGACCTCTACCGATGGCCACAGGAATTCCTGAAGTGCGTGACCAAGAAGTATGGGCAGAAGTTCATCATGCAACGTCTGCGGGAATGGAATTGGGATCTTACTACTTGTTTCAGTGGAATCTTTTCATGTGTTTTTGTTCGCCCAACTTGGGTCAATTCATCTTTGTTGTGAGCACCACTAGGCAGTGAGCAGCCTGGAATCTGCTGCCAAGAAGTACTTGTCAGCTTCTGCTGGTCGGTTGAGAAGGGGCTTTGTTCGAAAGCTCTGGTCCTTCGAGTGGAAGAAGCCATGCCAACAGGTCCTCAAGAACACCTATAACCAATGCAACTTCGGGGATATCCTTCAGTATGAACCTGGAGTCCAAGAGTTGTTTTGTACAACTCATTGTCGCATGTGCCCATTTGCCTGCCCCAAGCCCAAGCGCAGTTCCTTGTTTCAATGAAGTGCATCTACGAGTGGTTGTTGATTGACAACATCTGTTTTTCTATCCCTTTCCTCACATGGGTTGAACAATGATTTGAGGCTTGAAGGTCAACATTTCGGGACCTTGGGCTGCAAAAAGGTCTACATGTAGTCAGAAAACACATTTTATCATATTGTCTGATTGTATGTCTAGAGCTGTGGTAATGCACCCACTCTAAGGGCCACCTTGTGTGGCATTTTCGCTGATGGGAAAGAGGTTGACAACCAGTGATGCTACTTGGAAATGCCATGAGACTTTCTATGATATCATCGAACAGGAAGAACATGACGTAGCTGTTGTTGAGAATGTTCCCCAGTACTTGGAGGAGCATGCAAAGCAGAACCTGTCCCGGTCGTGGGGATGTGTGTCCCACGTCATCGATCCCCGACTCTTTGGCCAGGGCGCCTCCAGGACAAGGAGGTACATGGTGCTGTGGCGGAAGACCAAGGTCGAGTGGATTCCAGGAATGATCCTGCGTGAGGTTTTGGAATCCCTCACCAAGCGACCGGTTCTTGGAGGTGAGGATTATTTCTGGATGGATCGAGAGGTGTCTTCACTTCCTCCAAAGCAGGACCTGAAAGTAAAAATCAGTGTGAGATATTTATACTTGGTTGTTCTTTTGGTGAAACATATAATATTCG